AAAGACAACTTAACAATCTATAGAGAAGTAGATCTACAAACAACATCGCCGTTCGCAGTACATCTTTTCGCATTACGAGTACTAGTGCGCGTGGTCAAAACGTAAAGGACGATCGTTATTGGTAAAGCTGAAGACAATCAAATACATATAAATGAAACATTCTGCGAATATCATCGCCGATGAAATAGTATTATTAAGAGATACAAACAGTGTAATACTTCTATTCGACGGCAATAAATAATATGCTTGGTAATATAGCCGCTCGCCTTCTATTGTGGAGCTGCAGGCATGTGTTCAAGTATAGAACATTGACTACAACACGACTGCGCGGAACAAGCTCATAACACCCGCGGAAAGCAATCCTTAAAGAAATTGATAAAAGGAATTTCAAAGAAAAGATTGATATTTTTAACTCACCAGCGACAGGCAAGGTGACAATCCAACTGAGTGAGATATTACGGAATGTGTGCCAACGAACAGAATGACTCGCTTGCATCAGACCAACTGCCACAACAGAACCAACCTTAAATTGGCAAAATCTGAGGGCTCTACTGCTGTAAAGTGTTCTTAGCAATACGAAACGCTGACAATCGCCTCAATAGGGCTCTTTTTGGGGGCAGTAAAACTGAAGACGATGAAAACATACTAGCAGAAATTAAGAACCAGGCTGTGTTTGGGAATGTGGAGGAGCCGTAATATCATAGAATCGACAATAGAAGAAAGTACAAATGCGTTCTGGAGAAAGCGTGGTTCGGGCCTAAACAGGGTATGTCATCATAAAGCAAAACCCATCGCGGGTCGTAGTTAGATCGCTGGGGGCCGTAAGCCTGTGAGAGAGTTTCAGTTTTTGATTTCCTCCATTTCATGCGCTGCATCTCCCAAACGGCAGGGCGGTAAAACCACTAATTCTTCTGGTTGATCAGAAGGAGCCCCCCCCCACTTCACTCCGCTCAGCAGCGAAATTTCGGTGAGCTATAGTGAGAGCGTAGGTTGGGAGGAGTAAAAAATGACAAAATAACAAAGCGAGAGTACTGACATCGCTGCTTCACCCATTTTCACCTGCTCCGGAAACGCTGGTGGGCAGACCCAACAAAGCTCTACTATGCTCCTCTGTCGCCCATTCGTTGAAATCGCGAGCTCGTCACATTCGCGAAGTGCAAACGCAACCTCGAAAATTTATGGCACTTTCCCCTTACAAACACGACTTTTCGAGACATTTTGGCTCCATATCATCGTCAACGCAGCTGCATAAGGTACTGTTCACAGGCTACTACCCTGACAAATCGGACAAATGGCGCGAAAAGGTATGAACACTTATCGACTGATAAAATCGTGCCGCTCTGAAGAAACACCGGCGAGCTCACTGCCAACAGAAGGAGTTAGATACGTTCCAAATTCGCTAACTCCGCCCATGTGAAGAATGAGAAAGAAGAAAGAAGAATGAGAGTTAGCGATTCGCGCGGGCGAAGCGGCGGTTTCTCGGGTCAATGGTAAATAACCCTTTTCGCGAAGGCTACGGATTCGCCCGCGCGGTGCGCCATATCGCCTGTCAATACTTATCAAAACTTTTTCGCAAAAGCGTCTCATTCTCCGATTCGGTAGTGGTCCCAGACCGTGAACAGAACCCTCTCGTCCACAGCTTAAGAAAACCGCTCATCGATGAGAGAACCGATACATGGTTACAGGCAGAGAAAATAAGAAACTAAAAGCCAAAACTGTAACTACAGTGAACTGCATCCACGCACCTTGCACTGAGTTGAGGAGATGGGAAGGCCCAGTTTGGAGGCCACGAGGACCGTCACTGCTGCACCGAACTCGATGGCAAAGCCACTGAAGCAAATAGTTGCAACTATTGTAAAAATAAAAAAATGTAGAACATCCTAGAATATCCTAGCAGAAAAAAACCAAAAAGAAACGGAAAACCAGTTCAGGGTTTCCATTTCAAGGAATTCGTCTGACCACCAGAAAAAGTCAACCAACCCTGGAGGAGTAATCTTCGTTAGATTTTCTCCAACAGTGTATATAACACGGTGGCCCAACATCCACAGACCGAGGCACATGCCGACTGATCCGTAAAACAGAAGATATCTGGAAAAGTTACTTCATCCAGGTCTGTGCCAGATGGAAGGTTCATCAAGGGATAGCCTACCCAGGTGTATGCAGCGTTTGCGCAGAAGAGCCTTCTTGATAGATGACGTATAGGCTGACGAGAGGAGCAATGGCGTTACTGGAAATAATCATAATTCTAGACATCTCGAAAGGCAAAGGCAAGGCGCTACATGGCGATGGGGGGCATTTTGCATGTTTGCTGCCTGACTAGTTCCAGTTCAGAAGTCTCACTTCGTTGGAAACTCTGGACTCTTGTGAAGCTGGAGCAAGCTCGTCGAGCCAGCGTGGTAAATAGTATCTTCATGGTATTTCTTTGCTTTGCAAGACTTTACAGGAGGTCTTAACAAACTATGGCTGATTCACCTTCGCAAAGATTTCCACTGATGGCTCAACACTCCGATGGGAAGTAACAAAAGGCAAAATGCTTCCCCCGTCACCGAACTGCGCCCGAAGCCGGCAACAAAGAGAGAAGTGGAATGACTTACCTAACGTCATTCCCACCATGAGCAAACCCTCCAAAGCAAGCTGTCATCACTTGGAGGAGCGAGAAAAGGAGAGCTGCCTGTGGATCTTCGGGTTTCGATGAACGAAAGAAGGAAGCCACCGATGATGACGGAGCTATTGCATTTAAAGCTAAACAGAACATGTGGGAGAGAATCTTACAATCCGAGTGATTATGTTCAAATTGCGAAAATGAGGGCAATTGTATGTGAATGTGTGTATATATGTGAGTACCAAATCTTGTCAACGCCGAGTAAGCCTTGTATCATCTGTCAAGCAACCTGTAAACACTTGTCAAGCTTGTCAAAATGACTGGACAATTTACAGGCGCTTACAGGTCTGTCGCCCCTCCCCTTCCACCCCCCTCTCCCAAGATTATGAGTTTACACTGACCATGTCCTGATGTACCATTGCTCTTCGGGTCCTTCTCCTTGACGGGTCCATCGCTTTCAAATTCAAGAAGAGCCGCTTCTAAAATAGAAGGTTAGACTGCTGAGTTCCGAACAGGACCCTATAAGAGGAAATATCACTCACTCTGACCACCGACTGCATTCAATTCATTGGTGTTGTGTGACTCCAGATCTGTACGAGCTGCAATGGAACCAATTAAAATATGAGGCGAACTTCTTCTGCTGACTGTTAACTTACCCAGTATCCTCCGTTTCAACCACGGCGCTAAGACGAACTTTGCAGCAACTGCAGAAATTACACCGACAAGACATGAGATGACGATGCAGTACTTCAGATTTAAACGATCAAAGTACAAAACTGAAAACACATATGACTTTTTTCAAACACCGATAAAGCCTCCTTCCATTCATTGCTATGCGCCTCTAGTTCGCTGCGGACGGTTGGGCGTGTCAGGCAGTATGAGTGTGTCACCCCGTCAAAGCCGTTCTCTGCCTTCTTGTTGAAGCGCGCATGCGACAAAAAGTGGTAGAAAACGTAATACGAACGATATGATACAGTCATATCACTTGCTCGCTTCAACAACTGGTGGAGAACGGGTTTGGCACCGCGCCAAACTCATCCCGCCTGACACGCCCAGCCGTCCGCAGCGAACTACACTATATTTGCGCACTGGAGTAGAACAAACTACAAATAGATCTGATGCATCCTATGCTGCAAAAGTACGCATAATGTGCACTCCGATTTCGCAAGATGACAACGCCGTGGCTGCGTACTCATCTGGAAGTGGTGCAGAGCGCGTTCCATGGCATATTTCGAGTGGGATAACTGCCACCCTGCTATACAAAGATGCTATTATATTAATGTCCCGAAACGGCAATATCACACCCAAAGCACTACCCCCGCCACCGGGATATGGAGTGTAAAAATTTTAAGTTAAAGTTAGCAGCTGTGAATAACTGCAGCAACGCTAACTATGTATGTCGGTTGTAGTAAACACTAGAGACCAACTTCGTCATTACCTGGGAGCTACGTAGAGAAACAGCAAAGGGTAAATTCTTCGCAGGACTGATAAATCACCGAATATGATAAAAAAGCAGTAGCAGTACAGAAGGCAGCCAAGGTGTAAACTTGGGCGGCTACATAAAGCGTGACAGCGTTAACCGACTGGTGCAGTGACATTGCTTACGGTGCTAACGTACTTTGGGGGGTGTGGGAGACCAGCCGCCAGCGCCTCCGTATCTCTTTCTTATATCAAAACTCAGCTCTACTGGAAACTGCCGAATGCCCCCTCCTCAACTCCGCTGGCGCCTCGCTTAAAAAGTTCAAAGGATATTTGCTATCTTTTTTGGCATCCCTTAGCACACTACTTTTACACATGTGGTTTTTGCGACGTTAAAAAAACACGCTGAAAAACTAGACTACGTACTCGGCCAATCGCATCCTTCTCGAACTTTCCACGAAACTATTCAAAGCGATCACGAATACAGGTTCTTCTCTTCGCTTCACAGTGTTCAAAAAAACTAACACCCGTGGGCATAATTACAGTGTTCTGGGCGTCAAATCCGATGATATGGGTGTACTTCCGACGGATTTTCAGGTCTTGGTGCCACTTTAACTTTGCCTGCCTCGAACTGGAGGGATTTACGGGATTACTCCGGCTTGCAACAAAGAAAAATTCAGCTTTTGTCGGCGCTTTCGTGGAAAGTTCGACTACCATCGAGGCGATATAAACATAGGTGATCGGCGCTACATTAAAGGTACAGTAGGGCCGTGGGAATACCGAAATTGTTTCGTGCCACCGGCTGAAGGTTTCAAGAAACCTACGCAATCGTTCTACGGGCTGCACAGCTATTCCAAAGATGCAACCCCCTACTTTCGATAAAACAAACCGTTTAAGTTCTAACAGAACTCACATTCAGATCCTTCGTATATAATAGCAAAAACGTTGAAAGTCATACAAGCAAAATAGATCACCGGCAAAATTTTAAGGCCACTATCAAGGGGACGACTCTGAAATGCGAAGTGATTCTTTTTGGCCAGTTTTTCAGGCATCCTTTACCTCAATGTGTCATAATTCACTGTAAGGCTGTGTTCATACTTTGCGTCAGCCTTTTTAGCATATGGCAGCGTTTTGTTTGAGCGTTTTGAGCATACGCCAGGGTTTTGCCTTTGACGGGCAACTGCTGCAGTACGTTAAAAACGCTGACGCAAAGTATGAAAGCAGCCCAAAATGTAAAAGAAAATAATAGGGATCGAAAATCTAAAATTGGGTAACAATTTTCAGGAACGTCTCTTCGTCTCTCCCGACGGAAGTCATGTATATTGCGCCATCCTGCTTCGCTTGCGTTGCTAACATAACCTAATGTAATAGGAGAGAGGTTATGATGGTATTTTACCAGCGCTTCAGGGAGTTTTCAAGAATAACCAACACTAGCTGAACTGATTGAGTACATGAAGAAGGTGGAATATCTAAGCAGGTCACCTGACCTAAACCCCCTCAATTACCTGGTTCGGGCGGAGTTCAATAGGGTGGTCTACAGTGGCGGAGAAATCAACGATCTCGCTCAACTCGGGCACCCACATCGCCATCGAGAGATACTGCCACTCACGGTCGCGTGGCAGAATCTCTCGATGGCGCTCCTCCAGAAGGCTGTGGCGGAGTATCGTGATAGTATTTAATATGCTCTTTAATATGGTAGTAGAAGTGTCCGATAAGAATTTAATAAAGTGTAACTTATAGCGCCTCGAAAGTCAAGGAAGAAAAAAGTCTTTTTCTCGGCCCCCCCCTGTATACTTAGCATTCCTTTTACTTATGACGACATCTACTGTGAGAACACTCAAAGTCATCCTTTCAATGCAGATGTATCACAAACACCTTTTTTCTGTACGGTAAACTTAGATAGCAGTAATACTACTTTGGAAATTTACAAGCTTACAGATTTATTCACGATAAAACTACGAAGAACATTCAGTTCGATTAGCTCATAGATAAGAAATAGACCACCAACTTTTGAAGTTTTGTTCTCTTATAAATTACTAGTCCACTTCCTAAATGACAGCGATCTTCGTGCGCGAGAAAAGTCCTTCACCTAACCGCGTCTTCTTTAACAAAGAACATTTCGCGACTGAATCATTCATCATCTAATGGGACGGCCACATTTCAATGACAGAAAAACAGCGCTCAAGGCTGCGCCGACTGACGCCTACGGGACCACTATCTTATCACGCAATGAGATGACACACTGTATGACCTCATAGCTTGTCTAATGATGGCATATGACTTCAACAGGTCGTGTCATTAACTCGTAAACAAAACATCAAAGGTATTTACTGATGGAAGATTAGGAGACCAAACAGCACTCACCCTTCTAAGAACAAAATGATCGATTATCACGAAAAATATAACTGAGACAAAACCTGATAGCAGAGGTGAGACAATCCATGACGCAACTGAAATTATAATAGTCAGCTAGCTGCCCCTACAACTTGTAGCAAATGTTATTTTCAAGCAAAGGCTGCGGTAAAAGTGACAGCCCCAGCTTAGGTGTTTATACATTACGGGCGCATTTCGGCGATGAGAAAGGGGGGGGGGGCATTTTGCGCGTGCGCTATTTCTCATCGACGTGTCAAGCCATCAAGTGGAGACCTGTGAAATCTTGTAAAACCGCGACATAAACCAAAGTTTGTAGAGATCACCTGTGAACTCTTGCAAAGACATGAAATACTATGAAAATACCACTAAAGTATTGGCTCGACAAGTTTGCTCCAGCATCACAAGTGTTCACAGTTTTCACTCGGAGAGACTCGTAGACGGGAACCAGTAAAGCAGCGAAAGTTCAAATGGCCCCCCCCCCCCCCCTAATCGCCGGAGTACCCCAATGATTTATATATGAGCAAAGAGATGAGTTAACCAGCACTCACTGTTGAGCAGGAAAAATCCGCCCGCTGCGATGCACTAAGACTTTTCCTGTTTTTCTACAACTCTTCAGCGAAACAACTTACAGATGCGCGAGATCTTATGCCAACGGATACCCATACTGCCTTTAAGCACCATGGAGAATCCTATGGTAGCACCAACGATGGAATGCGTTGTGGACACAGGAAGCTTGAAAAAGGTGGCAAGCAACATCCATGCACCGCAACCTAAAACACTTTAAATAAATTGAGGAACAGAAATGTTCAAAAGAAAAGGTCGTACCAGACAGGATGGAAATTTGTCCATACATGAGTTCAACCTCACTGTTATTGTAAACGGCCAGATCAATCACTCCTTTACGCATCGTATCCGTCACTTTGTGTCCTTAACAGTTATGTTTCACTTAGTATTCCACGGTAGGAAAAGGGCGCAAATCAGCGCGACGGGGAGGTGGGCAATACACAGGTCAATGCTTGCGGAGAACACTTGTGAACTCTTGTAAAACCATGAAGTATCGTTTACCATAAAGGCTCGACGAGTTTGCTAAACTTCACAAGAGTTCACAGGTTTTACCAGAAAGATACTTGTTAACCGGAACTATTGGACCGGTGGAAGTGTAAAATGCCACCCCCTAGTCGCCGAATTGCGCCGAGAAGAGCATTTTTGTTAATGAAAAAAAAACATAACTTACCCAGCAAACATGCTCCAAGTGTCTCAAAAATACTGGCAAGAATGTAGGCTTGAGTAAGAGTGACGACCTGAGTAAAAGAGCGCTTCGACAACAGAACGCTATGACTAGTTCATTACAGAATAGTCACCTTGCTGCCCACACTAGTACCGAAAGAATTGGCTGTGTCGTTTGCACCAATGGCAAACGCAAGAATGAAAGCGATGATCGCACCGACGACGAGCCATGGCAATAAAGCCGATTGGAACGCGGCAAGATCTTCTATCATTTTGCGCGGTCCTGAAAAAATCTTGATAGAACCATTTCAACTCTTCAAATTTTGCACAGAAACTATTAAAATTAGTTTACAAAATACTGTAAGCAAACTACAAAAAGATGACAGTCAGCGAGAAACCATCGCCAACGTCTTTATGAAGCAGCTATGACGAATTTCAGTAAACCAAATCAAAAACACGCATCTATCCCGACCTTTATGAGAAGACGTGCGGCTAAACGGTACCTGGAGGGGTTGGGTACCGTGATCTTTTCTCATATTTTCAAGTCACTCAAGAATTTTAATATTTTCTATGGCTAATGTATCCTTATTCTTCAAACTGAATCACTAAGGGTGCATTTACCAAATGCCAAAAGATCTCGGATAGCTCTTTATATTATGGATGAATGCGAGTATAACCCGTTCACAAATTCAGTCATGCGTATTCTGGCAAGGTAGGTGCGATCGTACCATGCACGTAATGGCTGCAAACTCTACTTTGACAAATGACTGCCCCTCCCATGGGCATGGAATATGTGCCAGTTATTCTACACTACCTCATCTGAACCGCATGCTACTTTAGGAACGAGAAGGCTACGAAAAGAAGCTTCAAATTTAGGGCCTAGATATGCAGATCACAGTATTCAATACATCCTATTTTCTGTGGTACAGGGCACACCTTCGCTATGAACGCTGCGGATTTTTCCTACTCAAACCTGTTATTATTTTTGTTTACTCTTATCTGAACTAGTGATCTTATTCATTGGAATGTGGTCAGGTTAGGTTAAAATCATCTCGGAGATGAAGAGGAAAAACGGTGCAAAGAACGAAGGAAAAAATGCTGCTGTATTTGGTAACTTTTCGCGCGCGTCGTCGCATGCGACTCTGCGAAATACGCCTTATAATCCAGAAAAAAAGGCAGCTGTTCTCCCAGAATACATAGCCAGGGGCGACTTGTGAGTGTTAACCCTTTGTCCATCCTCCCACGATACAACCCAGAAAACTTGTGAAGTAATGAGATTCATGAGCAATACCTGAAACTCATTCTTCGTAAATTTGCCCAAGGCTGTCCCAAATATGAAATTAGAAAACATGGGTAGAAAATCTAGATAGACCTAAAGTGATACAGCAGTTGGTTGCCAAAATGAAGTGTCCTCTTTGTCATCATACTGCTTGAAAAATACAATATTCAAACGACAATTGAAAAGAAATATTGCTAGCTAATCTAAGATTCAATATTTGTAGTTCTGAACCCACAAGCAGATGATGAAAACTAGTAATCAGCCACAAAGAAGGGATACAAAGGACTACCATTTAATGCGATTTCGCGCCCGCGAACAATAACTGATAAGACGTTTTGCGCCCTATTCTAGAAAAAAAAAGAGATAAAGCGAGCACCGGAAATAAAACCAATAACTGATAAGGGTCATATCAGCTGAGCCACAGTTTACCTTGTACGGATTTTATGGCGATTTGAAGAGCTAGCAGTGATGGAGCAGCAGCATAGAGAGCTTTTGGGAATGAATGCATTGGGCAGTGGGCTGAGCAGGAGGCTCTCAAAGGAGTCTAGCGTCCTTACCACACAATTCAGACTGTGAAAAAACGATATCCTATGCTCTGCTTGCGAACCGAACTACCTTGTCTTGCGCATAAGGTGACCGTAGGACGTGCTTTGAAATTCCAAAATACTGCTCGCATCACTTGGCAATTTTTGCGTCGATAACCAATAAGTTTATACTTTTTTCAACTGCAAGTGCTAAAAAACATGGTGCGCTAATTTTAGTACATGGAATAGACGCCAAATAAATCATATAGAACAGCGCAGAAAGAAGAATTCATGGCACTCCATGTGTGTCACGAGGTGCGGAACGTGTAAACAATACAAGCGGAACATATACAACGGCTCTAGGAAAAATTCTTTGGCGTTATATTGGAAATGTTTGAACTCTGACCAGATATATTCCACATCCCTGAGACGCGGTAGGCGTGGCTGCGTGCTTCATTAGAACATGGCAAAGGGTGGGTTTTTCGAGGGATATTTCATTTTGAGATAGCTGTGATACCCCTGCGTTGAGGGACATGATTACAACTGTCTTAAAATGAACCCTCACTGAGACCGCGTTCAGAGAGTCGCTTCAGCGCGAAGCGGAGCACCACCACAACGACACAATTCGAATTAAGCATTGTTCGGTACAGCATTGTTGTTTGGTGACCACATGGGGGGGGGGGGGCGTGCTTGGCCGCTTGGGGGTAGCGCGTTGTATTGGTCGTTTTTGAGAGGGTGGGTCATATTAACCACTTGGAGAAATTTCCGCGTTGGAAAAAGAAGCCCCCCGTTTTGGTCGCGTGATCCAATAGCTCGAGAGCTGATTGTGAAGTCTGAACGCGAGCTAAAAGGAGAGCAGCCGCCACGTTCGAATGAGTCCACGCCTGTCGCATCTCGGGGATTCGATCCCGTTGATCTCACTTGGAGTATAACTATTAGGCAGCGTTCAGACTTCGCGATGGAGCGCTTCGGCCGCGCGTTGGGTGCGATCGATGCGCATGCTTTCTATTGCATCGATCGCGTCGAACGCGTGATCCATGCACCGCCATCGCGGAGTCTGAACGCTGCCTTATAGAAAGTACTATTTTATTGCCGATAATGAGAGTAATAGTGAGAAAACCGTAGAACCGCTCTCTATGCTATCCGGTAGAAGCGGCCAACTCACCTTGGTGAGACGATAACGATGAGCTCGAAACTCGGTTGCAGGATGTGCAGTCGCCTACAGATAGGCGCACTAAGCAGTACAAGCGAAGCGACCAAACAGTATCTCTTGCGTTAGCGTTCGACTAATTACCCCTGAAATAACAAACTGATAACAGTGTGTCGTAGTATATTGTAAGCGACACGAGCCATGCTATAAACACGAAAAAACGAACGAAAACTTCGGTCAAGAAATTCATTCACTGGAAAGAAAAGCGGAATTCAGAATGAGAACGTGGAAAATAAAACAATGGCTTTCACTGCGGCTTTCGATTGTTTCTGCTGAGGAAAGAGAAACATTTGATGAAAAGTTTTGAGCAAACAAATGATGACGGATCGCAATGGCTAAAGGCTGAACCCTGTAGCCGGCGCGACAGAACGAAGATGAGAGGCGGAAGATCAAAAGAATCACTATCAAGGTCAAGACAACCCAGTTTACTGGAGCGATTTTTCAGTCCAGAGCGCTAAAGTAGTGCTAACAATAAATAACAGACATTCTTTCTCCCTTGCAGAAAATTACTGCACAAGATGGGAGAACCTAAAAATGGATACTGCCTCGGAAAGTAATTCAACAAAGCAAAAAAAAATACAATCCAAGGAGATCTGCTCCACAGATTACTATGGTGCGGCTGTGAAAATTGTCTATACCATGAAATTATAGGCACTGTTCGGCTTGAGGGGGGGGGGGCGGGGGAGTGGGCATTTTGAACTATAACCATTTTCGCTAATTGCTGTGAAATTACACGTCAGACTTTGGCAAGACCCACGGCTTTTTGTCAGGGGTAAACGAAGCTCATACTTGAATAGCTTTACTCACAGCTCTCCACAGGAGACATCGGCGGTGGGCACGTATGAAGGCGATCGTAACATGTCGCGCTAACATGTGGGCGTGGCGAGCGACGCCGCACCTGATGGACGAGTTGGCCTGCCTGGCCATTTGTATATGTGAGTGCCGAAGGGAGGGGAAGACCCGATATTGCCCGCCACGAAATCTTGTCTTTCCTTGAATTCATACGGGCTCAGTTGCTCCAATCGACAGACTGTTGCACATGGATGATTTACCAGGCACAGCCGTATAATACGCCGCGCGCGGCGACGCGACAAATTGCGATTGTCTTGTCCGTCTCCCGTCGGCAGCAGTCGATGAGAACCAGCAAACAGGGTACAGCATCGTTGTGTAGATACATAGGGGGTCGTACTTTTCTGCTGGGACGGGAGGATCGTGTGTTGCTTTGCGAGAAGCTTGCTGGTTGCGAAAAAGTTTTCCCGATTGTTGACCTTTCACGTAATTTTTCCTGTTCCATGTGTACTATATACATTCTTCCCTCCCCGCTCGACGCGAAATTGTTGGGTGAAAAACTGGAAAATCAAAGGAAATTGGCAGGTAGGTGTTAGTGAAATGGGGTCGTTCCGAAACCCTCATCCAGGTGGGGGGGGGTCGTACTGACACCCTCTCTCGGAGAGGGGGTTCATGCTGTCACCGCCATTTCACACATCACGACGCTGTACCTTGCTAGCAGAATGCCCCTATCAAGCCGAAATTAACCAAATTATACAAGAAAATAAAGGAAACGAGAAATGTCGAATAGAAAATAACGATGATGTGGTCAATACTTGAAATAAGTGTAGCATTCCTCACTTCACAGAGACTGCTGTTAGCACTAAATTGTACGGAGAAAGCAGTAGACTTTCTGTTTTTACCGCACCGCTCTTGTAACAATTTGAACTCGATCCTTTAAACTGCACCGATTTTCTGTTCTCGTCTGCGTTCTCTAACCTGCATACGTTCTGTCACCACTATGACATCACACATTCCACATTCACACATGACAGCTGGCTTGCCCATTCCTCTCGAAAAAAACTCATCACTGGATTGCTCATAAAATACTCTGACAGCCGCTCTGCATACTAGCCGTTCGCGGCAGGACCGTCGCAGAGTTTGGACGCCATTAAGCTATTACCAAGTAATGTAATACGTAGATGCAAATACTGCATTGACATGTAGTAAAATTCGAATGACAAAAGTTTCCCTAAAAATCTTTCGAAGAGAAAAAAAACCATAAAATTCCAGTCGGCACAGTTGGGCGGCGCAAGGGGCATTTTCTACTTCGCTGCTTCCCATTGTCGTGTTCATTGCTTTACAACAGATGACAGGTATTCTTTACAGGAGTTGACGAGTAGTTCCAACAAACTTTAATTGGTATCATTTCGTGGCTTTACAAGATTTCACAGATTTGTACTTGATGGCTCAACACGATAATGGGAAGCA